CCCCAAAACCCCAAAACCCCAAAACCCCACTTAGAATTTATGAGTTGAAAATAATACGAAATAATGAAAATGAAGCCAAAATCAAAAGAATTAAAAAGGAGTCGTAAGTCAACAAATATCTTTCGAGTTAATTCATCTGAATTTCACGAAGAATGAAGAGTCTGATCATGCCTTTATAGCTATTAGGAAGGAATTTCCGGCTAAGAAAAGTTATAAACCCAAGAGAATGTCAGAAACAATAAAATTGAAGGACAGTTATCAGGAAGAATATAAGACCCAAGCTCTTCACACCAATAAAGAGGTGGTTGAAATTAGCTTTGAAAGTGAGTTAGATAAAACAGTCCCCATGAGCAGTGAGAGCTCAATCAAAATACTTCCTGGTATAAAAGACCTCGAAAGTGCAAATATCAATTTCGAAAAACTCGTCAATCCCATAAACATCAATCAGCCAAAGCTCAAAAGAATATTCAACTTTCACATAAAATCAACACATAACAAGATAGAGTTCTCTGAATTCCTAAAATTCTGAAAGAGCACTCAAATTTTTCCCAATTTCATTTCAATAATCTATCTAAAGAAGATAATCCAGGAGGTACTCGAGGAAAGCAAGAGTAAATAAGGGGAAGAGGTCGCCCAGAATTATAGAAAGGACTGTTAGCAATAACACTCAGCTTGTATTTAAAGACTTCAACAGGTCGATTAAATAGCATGGCCAAGTTCATCGTTGAATCGTCTCCTAAAGAAGTTGTCGAGGAGAAAATCAGAGGCTTCATAAAGCACATCAATGTTAACTGCCAATACAGCTATAACGTTAATAATTTAATTTCCGACAGCTCTCAAACCCCAGATAGAGTAGAAACTCCAGTGAAAGCCAAGACTCCTCAAAGCTTCGCTTCGAGCACCTGTGACCATAAGGAGGACCATGCGGCCAAACCTCATGACGCTACTTATAAAGATGACCTAAATGAGAAGACAACTGATTCCAATATGATCGACGAAAATATTAACAAAGCTCTGGAGGCACTAAAGAATCCAAGATTAAGCTGTCCTCAGTCCAGTGAGAAGCAATCTAGTGGAGATTCTTCAAAGCTCAGAGACCTTGAAGACCTTGGATGCCTTAAGCTTGACCAGAGTGCTTTTAAAAGACATGCAAGTAATGGACTCCAGATCGGAAATCCAACAGCTAAAGATAATCCCTTCAAGAGATACAGATCAACTTCTCGTGGTCGGAAGAGTAATTCAGTCAGTAAAGAGAGAACCAAGGAGAAGACAGAACTTGAGGAGTTTCTAGCCCTAGAGAAATCATGCAAAAATGAACCCAGCTCAGCTAGCTCGAATATTATTTCAATAAATTGATCTCCAAGGCCACAACATGTTCGCAAGAGGTCTCGGTCAAATAAGCATAGTAAATATAACCATGAAATTCATGAATTTGATACACTAGGCAGACCAGATAGCATAAACCCAAAAGGTCTCTTCAAGCGTAAAAGAGAAGTCAAAGATCGTCAAGAAGATGCATTAAGGTCAGCTAAGAGCAAACCTAAACCGACTACCAAAGGTACTTTACCAGTGAATATTTTGACATGATTTATAGAAAGGGAATCAAAAAGTCTCAAAAGGTCTCAAGCTTACCATAAAGAAGAGGCTCCATCACTCAACTTAAAACTTGAAGAAGTATCGACCACTGATAATTTCTTTAGAACAAATCCGATGGTCCTAAACTAGGAGAAGGCGAAAAAGAGGATCCAGAGGACTATGACAAAAAGCTTCAAGAAATCCAAGAGAAATACAAGAAGGCCTTAAATCTCCAAGATGCGGAATCCAATCTTGCCAAAAAGAAAGTAGAAAAACCTGTCAAGGACTTGTTCTCAGCAGATGAGTACAAGACGCTAAAGTCATTGGTAACGAAGGAGAAACCTTCAAAGGCTACCAAGAAGGTAAGCAAACTCCTCATTTCATAGAAGAATGAAACTTCCAAGGCGAAGATTAAGCCCAAGGAGAAATCAGCATGTATGGCTAAACTTGGCAAGACTACCGAAGTAAAGATTTCCAAAAGAGGAGGGCTCACCAGTCGATCCAAGACTAAGAAATATCAAAGAAGCAATAGCATCAACAGGCGGAAAGACTTTCTAACCAGACCAAAAGAGAAAAAGCTCAAACAAAATAATTCCTCAAAGCCAAGGAATCATTCTGAGACTAAGGGTGAGGACCTCGGTCTTGATAGCATCAAGAATTCCATACTTAAGATCAAAGAAAAAGCTCTTAAGTTAGAAAATGAAGTCAAGCCGTCTAAAAATGATAAAGTGTCTAGTACCCTCGAAGCAGAAATGAGGGCATATGTATCAATATCCTCCATAGATCTCTGCAACGCGAAAGATAAGGATGAAGAATCAAGAATAATGGAGGATTTTCAAGACGTTCCTAAAGACATCCCAACTTTCTCACTACATCAAGAGGATAAGCCAATAGATATAACTTCATCGGATACCTCTAATCTTACGAGTAAAGAGCCTGAATCCCATCATCCTTCTGGGAGTAAGTACAAGCGGAACATTAAAAAGGTTCAGGGCAACAAGACACTTGAAGTCAAACCTCGGTACCATACCGAAATGGGAGATTTACAGACAGATTTCTTGAAGCAGCAAGTCTTGGATCCTCTGACTCAAAACAAATCTCTGAAATCCCTAAAAGCTTCTAAAGGGATTGAAATCCCTTCTAAAACTTCCTCTTTGAGATCAGGGAAAGAAGATGGGAAGAAGAACAGAACTGTCCGGTTTAAAGAAGGTGAACATCTTCGTCAAAATAGTGGCATAAATCTTTACAGTAAGCCTACAGCTTTACTAAATCTTATATTAATCTAGAAAATGACAAGATTATCAGCGAAGAAGAAAAACATAACCATAGTGCTTCCAAGAGTAAGTTTAGTAGATTTAATGCCTAGTACTTCAATTCAGAGACCCAGTGGATAGAGTACATAGATGGAATTTAGAACCTAGTGGTGACTCTGAAGAGACTAGTGGGTTCAAACAGGAAATTTTTAGCCTAAAATCTGACATTAATAGCTTAGATAAAGATCCAAAACCTCAGATTGAGCTCCCTGTTGAAAATATGGGAGCAAAATTTCCTTCTATCACAAATCTCCGAGCAAATATTACTAAAAAGGAGAAGAGAGGCCCTCCACAAAATAGTCACAGAATCGGAGTGCAAGACTATGTTGAATTGAAATACACCAATCACCAAAAACTTGCCTTAAAGCTGACATTCAAAAACTTAGAATCGATGATGAAGGTACTATTTCTACTCATACCCCTAGCTGAAGCAGAAAGAGAATGTTAATGACGGCTTCAAAAAGATAAAAGAGATGAACAATCTTTGCAGAGAATACAGATCCCAGATGCTTCTATCCCTAACCAAACTATTCAGTGTGATTAAGCATAAGCAAACTATCCAAAAAGCACAAGTTCTTAACACCTTGTCTACCAAGGTAAAGATGGAAGCTTTGGCTGACTCACTTGCTAATGATGCTACTTCCTCACTGAAGGGTCTTCTAATGGACAAGATGAAAAACATGATGTAATTCCAAAATATTTCAATAAATGTAGAGGCCTAAGGGGTTTTGGGGTTTTGGGGTTTTGGGGTTTTGGGG